TTTTAACTCGCCAACCACGCATGCTTTAAAGCTGAAAAATTTTGCCAGTGTGTTTCCAGCCAAGTGCCAACCCAGGACCGCGGTATCAACTCTCACGCACGTCTGGGCCCTGTGTACAAGCACGCGAAAGTTTTGGCGGGAAAACTGATAATTCGGGAAAGAGAAAAACTAGAAAGTTGAAACTTTGGGGGAATGTTCCATACTCACGCACGGCCAAAAGTTTCCAAGCTTGGCTCCTTAGGACCGCCCGGGGCCCACGTCCGGGCACGTGGAAATTTTAGCGCGAAAGTTACTAACCCGGGGACGGAAAAGCTAGAAAGCTGAAACTTTCGGGGAATGTTCGCTGCTCATTTATGAGCAAAATCAGGTGTTTAAAAGCGCCCGGAGCCCACATACGAGTGCATGGAAATTTTGGCGCGAAAATTACTTGCCCGGAAATGCAAAAAGCTAGAAAGCTGAAACTTTAGGATAATGTTTCCTACTCATGCACGAGCAAAGTCAGGTGTTTAGAAGCGTTCGAGCCCACGTACGACCGCACGGAAATTACTAACCTGGGACGGGAAAAGCTAGAAAGCTGAAACTTTCAGGAAATGTTTCCTACTCATGTACGACCAAAATTAGGTGTTTAAAAGCATCCAGGGCCCACGCATGAGCACATGGAAATTTTGGCGAGAAAATCACTAACCCGGGAACGAAAAAGCTAAAAAGTTGAAAGTTTAGGCTAATGTTTCCTAATCATGTATGACCAAAAGATTTTGAATTCAGCTCCTTAAAACCGTCCGGCACTCACGTACGGACACGTGAAAATTTTGATGGAAAAACTGCTAACTCGGGAACGGGAAAAGCTGAGGGCTTTAATTTTAAGGGAATGTTCCCTACTCATATGCGGCTATTCAAATTTACCTCTTCTAGTGCGGCTTTTTTTGTGAGCCAGCAACTTTCCATTTGTCGGGTCACAGAAGCCGACATCTACAACTGACATACCACACAGTTGCACAGTTAACTTCCCAAACTTCGAGGGCCA